TGATTTTTTTTTTTACTATTTTTATTTAGTTTTTTTTTTGTTTTTTTTTTTTTTTTTTTTTGAGACAGGTTCTCACTGTGTAGCTCATACTAGTGTGAAACTGTTGATACTCCTGCCTCAGCACCACCATGCCCAGCTCAAACTTTTCTAACTTTTATTGTACCTTGAGTATATAATTTTGTACTCTTTCAAATCACATTGTATTGGAACAATATTTCTAGCACCTTCCTACCAAATGTATAATATTCAAACAGGAACACACTGGCTGGGGAAGTAACGCAAGTAGCCCTTCCAAATGTGAAGTTTTTAAAACTTGAATTGTACTCTAAAATTCAGCCACATTTAGCATGCTAGTCATCACCTAACTGGAAAGCTAAACCTAGTCTAAAATGTTTTTAATTATTTAATCTTTTCTGGAGTAGAGATAGTTTTGTACTGTGTCTTCCTAATTTTAGAAAATTAGATTAAATGAACTGGTCTCATATGATAGGTGCTTCATGCAGGCACTTTTTCTTTTGTTTCTTCATATCAGAATATTTGAAAAACTAAGTCTTTCATGTGGTATGAAGAGCAGTAACTTTTGTTTTTGAAATTTATTTTTGTATCCATTCTCTTATGGGTTATATTAGTAAATGCTGGGAATAGAGAAGCAGAAATGCTATCAAAGATGGCCCTAGTCATCCATCCTTTTATAGATGGGCTGGTCAGCTGTCTCATGAGGCAGACCAAAAGGGTCTCTGGTCACCTTGGTCTTTCTCTGTTACTATCTCCAAGAACTTTTCCACTTGAAAAGGGTAACCCACAGTACCTTTTATTCAACACTGTAATTTATGTCATACACAACTAGAGTCTTAGCTCACTCCTTCTCCCCATGACCAGACATTTTCTGTACCACCTGTCCCCCTTGGTTTTCACTGCAGCTCTAGAGAGCAGCTCTGATTTTGCTTTATTGCTGTTAATGAGGAGGTTGTGCCTAAGGAAGAAGGCTGCTGAGTAACTTACCCTTGGGGACTTCCTCTCATCATAAAAGCAGTAGTGAGTTAGTTTATGGCATTGGGGGTTTTATCCTTTGTTGTGACTTTTATATACATTCTTGGGGGAAATAATGTGAGATTCTCTCACCAAGCCAGCACATGTCTCAGTGGTAGATTCACCTGACTCTCATTTTGTCCCACATGTGCCTTGAAATGAAAGCATCCAAATATCCAGGCTTTATTTCATTGTTTTGCAATTTCTCTTTTTATTCATTTCACAAAGAAAATCAAGAGGATGTGTGTTTGTGTGTGTGTGTGTGTCTGTCTGTCTGTCTGTCTTGTCTGTGTGTATCTGTGTATTTTAGTTTGGTTTGATTGTTTTTTGAGCTAGAGTGTCTCTGTATAATCCAGACTGACTTTGAATTTGTAATCTGCGTGACTCAGGCTGCAACCCATGGCAGCCAGGAAGCAGATCATGAATGAAAGAGCCAGAGGAAGAGATACACCCACCAAAGGTGTACCGCAGTGGCCCACCTCCTCCAACCAGACTCTACCTCCTAACAGCACATTCAGCTAGAAACTTAGCAGTGATGAGTGTAGAACCCCATGATCCAATTACTCTCCAAAAATACCATCTCTGAAAACGTGAGATTTAAGGGGAATATTTTAGATATGAACCAGAAAGTTCTCTATACCAGGAACTTCTGGAGAGTGATAGGAAGGCTATTAAATAAAGCATTTTTTTGTGCCTTCTAGGTTGTATCCCTGAATAAAATTTTTAGGGATTTAAGCAAAGTTATGTCAGAAACCATGGACAGAGATAGTTTTTTTTGGTTTTGTTTTTGTTTTAAGACACAGTTTACAAAAAATTTCTGATCACATCTAGGCTGGTTTATCATCTTCATCATAGTGACATCTGAAAATTGAATGACTATTTGCTTTTACTTTGATTTTCCCAATAATTTGTGACTATGTTAAACCCTAACTATAATAATTCAGTCCCTGTAGAGTACTCGCTACCCTTACTTGACACTGGACAACTCTAAATTATTCTTTCCTCATCCTGTTCCTGAGTTCCTCTTGCCAAGGCTTTATGCCACAACCCATTTTCTGGCAGCTGGGGTACCTACCTTATGAACCAAGAATGGTCAATACTTAGTGACAGAGGAGCCCCGCATACATTGCTCATCCCTTGGTGCTGCTAATTCTATAATTACTAGAAGAAGCATCACAGTACTCATGTGTAAACTATTCTTTCTAAAAGACTGAATTGCCTTTGTGGATGACAGCTGTCTTGGTATGATTTACCTGTTGCATTAGAGAAGCCCCAGAGGATTTGCTGGCTCATGTTTAGACTCATTCTCACCTGTACCATACAGCACCTGTGCATGTTGGACACATGTCAAAGCCAGTGGTGCAGGAAAACAGCCTATTTTTACTTTTCAGAACCACTTTGTGACAAAATTCAAAGAATCTTCTTAAGAGAACAAATAGAAGAATAGTACAAGCCAGGCATGGTGGCACACAATGTGATCACAGTACTCTGTGAGGCTGAGACATGAGGATTGAAAGTTTGAGTCCAGCTTGACCAACTAGTGAGACCCTATTTCAAAATAAAGGAGTTGGTGGTGGTGGCACATGCCTGTAGTCCCGGAAGCAAGGGGTCTCACCAAGACTCTATCTTAAAAGGAAAGAGGAGTATAGGGATGAAGCTCAGTGTGAAGGACATTTGTACATAGGAAGGGACTGAGTTTCAATCAAAGCAAGTCAGTTGAGGAGAACTGAGAATTTAGTGCTTGAGAATAAAGCACTAAAGATAGTATACTTCTTGATTTCTATCATATCACAACAACATTCCTATCTAGGAACTTAAAGACTATCTTCTTTGTTATCACTTTGACTGTCATTATTCATTGCTTATCCTTTTGGTTTCCTTGTATACCCAATACTTCCATCCAGAGAGGGTCATTTCAGTTTTATGATTATGACCAGTCTCTTCTCTAGACTGGATCTGACATTGAATATGCCAGAGTACATGTTACTATATGTTAGCTTCCCTTTCCTTCATCTTAAAAATCTTATTCACCAGAACACTGACTTCTTTATTTTTTATTTTCTGATTTTTATTTAACTTTATTCATACAAAAAAGGCCTTTTGTTGCTGCTTTCACAATTTCATATGGATAGAGGTTTTCCATTCTACATTTGTGTATAACTGCTTCAATTTAGCCCTCTGTCTCATTTTTCTGATGTGTGAGAAAGCTCTGACTTTGGAACCATCTTGCCTTAGGGAGCCCTCTCCAGATTTGAGGGGAGGCGGAAGAATATCAGTGACTTCAGAATGCACTGAAATTAGCACTGGAATTGTTTCCATACATGAAGTAGAGAGGCATTATGGTCATTTGTGATCAGAAAGACCATAAGAGCTGATGAATTCTAGCCTGACCTATGTGCTGGGCTAAAAATATGTACTGGTCATAGCAAAACATCTTTAAATTCAAATCGGTCTCTGGAAAATGGGCTGCTTGTAAGACAGTTTGTGGCTTTAGAGTCTTAAGGAAGAAAATTGGCATAAATCCTAATACTGTTACTTTTTTATTTAAACAGTAAAAACCAAGTGATAGCATTGGGATAAGACAAACCATTAGCAGTTAAGCAGTTAGTGGCTCGTAGGTGTGCATTGCATCTCCTGTAAACATTTCTTTGACAAATATTACCTATACCTAACAGGAGTATTTATCTTCTTTTCCAAGCCTCTGTAACATTTTCAAGTATCAAATTAAGCTCAGGCCTTCATATGTATATATGTCCTGTATCTGAACTTTACCTGCGTAGTGGTGCCCAGATGAATAAATTTGAGCTTTGCTTTTGACTTTTGACTTTGAACATTTTTAAACTCTTTTAGACCTCTTTGAGAGTGGAGGACATAGCAGAGGAAAAGTACTGATATAATGTGATGTATAGTCATAGGTTTTATTATCTCTCTTTTTAAAACCTTCTGCAGCTGGGGATTAGCTCAGTGCAACCGTGCCTGCCTGGCAAGTGCAAGGTCCTGAGTTCGATCCCTGGTTCTGCAAAAAGGTTCTGCAGTCTCATCATGGAAATGCAGAGCAGAGAGTTGGTATATTTAATATACCACCTTTCTCCCATCGTCCCTCTTCCTTTCCTTCTCCTCTTCCTCTTCATTCTTCAATGGCATATCGCTGTGTTGTCCAAGCCGGCCTCATACTTGTAATCCTCCTGCCTTAGCCACCAAGTAGCTGGTATTACAGATATGAACCATAGCACCCAGTTTTTTTTGTTTGTTTGTTTGGTATTTTTTTTGGTACTAGGGATTGAACTTGGGTCCTTGCGCTTGCAAGTCAGGCTCCGGAACCACTGAGCTAAATCCCCAGCCCCACAGCACCCACTTTTAACAGGCCAATTTTCTTATGCCTGGGATTCTCCCTCATTTAGTTATGTTTCCAAGGGACTGCATTCATGTAATAACACCAGTTTTCAGTAGAGTCTGTAATGTCTTCAAAGAAATGGTTCATTGTTATCTTCATAAAAGAGAAGGGAAGAGTATGTTGTATTTGTTGACTGTCTCCATGCTTGGAATTTCTGAAGACACAATGGTATGTTTGAGTGGCAGTTAAAGGAGGGCTGTGTCCCCATGCTTATTGTTTTTCTGTGTGGTTTCAGAGGTGGTGGCCCAGTGGTGCACACAGGGAGACTTACTAGCAGTTGCTGGGATGGAGCGGCAGACCCAGCTCAGTGAGCTCCCCAATGGACCCCTTCTGAAGAGTGCCATGGTGAAATTCTACAATGTTCGAGGGGAGCACATCTTCACATTGGACACACTCGTGCAAGTAAGTTTATTCTTAAGAAACTCTACTATGTTGGTGTGCCCTGGTTATGTTAAATACTCATGAGTTGATTATACTCATTGTAATTATCTTTGACAAATTTTACTTGTTATTTTTATTTTTAATTTAAATTGAATTGTGGTGTATAAACTAAGACAAATAGAGAAGAAAGCAAGTTTTGCCTTTTAACCAGAATGCGTTGTTTCATTTCACAGTCACATAAGTGGATAGTGAATCAGCAAAGTAAGCTGGTATTGATCAGCAGTCTACAGAAGAAATCAGACACTTTCAAAAGTGAACATTAAATGCTTATTTACTTGTAAGGAAGAAAAAGTAATTGTCTTGAATTCTTAGCTGGGACTCCTTATAACAAAAGACAGATTAACAAGAGAAAAACATGTTTAATAACATATATACTTCTTATATTATTATGGGAAATAACACAGAGAAATGAGTAAATCTTTAGATCTAGAATTGTCTTAGACCTCAGACTCAGTTATTTTAGGTTTCCCTCCCTAGTCCACACCTCCCACCATTTTACACTCTCTTTCTGTGAGTTTGACTTAAGCACCTCATATAAACATGTAGACTGGCTTACTTCACTTAGTGTAATGTCCTCACAGTTTATTGATGTTGTAGTATGTGCCAGAATTCCAGGAAGTAATAATATTTCCATTGTGTGAATACAGAGCAATTTGTTTACCCTTTCATGTATCTATAGACATTTGGGTTGCTTCCAGCTTTTGGTTATTGTGAATAATGCTGCTCTGAACATGGCTGTTGAGAGCCTTCTTTTAGATGTCCTTTGGATATGTACCCAGGGGCCGGGGATTTAGCTCAGCGGTTTGGTGGCCTGCCTTGCAAGCGCAAGGGCCTGAGTTCAATCCCCTGTACC